ATACATATGTTACTTTTCATATCAATTCAAGTGTATTACATGCGCTCCACGCTTTTAATTTTCAATGTCATTAATTGTTTATAATGACTTTTGTTAAAATTTCAAAATCAAAAGTTATCAAAACAAATTCTGTGGGACTGAGAAATATTGTTTTCTACTTTTTAGTCCATTTATAAAAGCGTTGTATATTAAAGAGCTTTTTTTTATTTTCTATTCCCTTTCATAAAACCACTGGTGCGCCAAATCGCATTCCCTGCGGCGCAACAGGGTTTTTTCATGGTCCATCCGAATCGACAATTTCAATACAGTCCACATTAAAAGTACTGAGCTACTTCTGCCACGACGCAAAGAATTTGTTTCAACAACGAGCGAATTTTTCCAATCTATACCGAGTATTCAACATCAGCACCGCTAATTTCACACCAACGTGCTTAACTTTGAGTCAGCGGTATTGCCTGAGCTTCAGCTAGCTGTGCCACGAACTAGCCAACCTACAACTACACCACCAAGACACGCAAAAAAAGCCAACGAGCGTGTATTTTCACCGGTGACTGAGAAGCTAAGGTACGTAGTTACAATTTCAAGTGCACTATCAATATTCCAGTATGTGAGAAATAGATAGCTTTCCAGATCCAAGCGCGTAAAGCGATTTTTAAAAAACAGTTAAATTTTATCCCAAAAAAAAAAAATAAGTTCAAAAATTTGTATCCGAGCTGTGTCCATTTGTCGGCGACTACCAACACAGTTTTCAGCTGGTGCACCGTGCAACCACTAAAGAGCATACATCACAGTGAACAGTGTCACACCTGATAGAATCGACGTGCAACACAGTGTTTAAGTTCATTTATACGGCAACCATTTATTGTCTGCCACTTGTCACATTGTTGAAATTCAATAATACATAATTTCGATCTGCATTACTGCACGTCTATACCTGCTATGGGCGTGCGCATACGAAACATCGTAAGAGATATATCGCAGGTGTAGACCGTTCATCGCAGATATAAAGTAAGAGATATCTCATACCATTTATCGCATACCTAACTATGCGTTTAGCCACTGCTTTTTCGTATTTTCTTTGATTCCGAGTAGGAAAGAAGCGGTGTTATTCGAAGAAACGTTGTTCAGACACAACCAAATAAATGAAATAAAATTTTGGCAACATTTATAAAAAACTTACAACAAATTCCCACTGCAATGGTATGCGATCAAATGCCCACATACAAAAATTTCCCTGGGATAAGATTTCGCATGCGATAAAACTGACAGTTCGTATGCGAGTGCCAGAGCGCAGGTATAGACGTGCAGTTAGTAACTTAGTCGTGCAGCACTTGTTTTTTGGTTAAAAGTTGCATTACACTTGTTCATCGGTCACATAACCTCTATTTTTGTTTCAATTTCACATTTTTTCACAAAATCACTTGTGAGCGCTGAATTTATTCATTTGTGTATCATATGCCTGTTAATTGCAAAAATTTAACGAAAATTACAAATTTTGATATCTAACTGGCGAAGTTGAGTTGTGTGTATACTTGAATTTTGCGTATATATACAAATCCCTATACACATAAGTATATACATATATTCGTCAGCACTGTTGGGTGGCGAGTAGGTACATAGATTACGTTCCATTTTCTGGAAGAAATAAAGATTTTTAATTTTCAGCAAGAAAAAACGGAATTCAAAACTGAGTGTTTTTTGAATTTTCTTTTTTACCATTAGCTGGAAATATATACAGTATATATATGTATAGTAAAGGGAAAGCAATTTCAGTTGGTATTCAATTAGGCGAACATAATATTTTTCTCAGTTTGGCAAAGTTTTGCCTACTCAT